GGGGAGGCAGGAGGGCAGCGAGGCCACCAGCTTCCTGCCAGCTGATGGCAGCGAGAAGGCGACAGGTCCCCTGGGGAACCTGGCCGAGGAGCTCACTGGCTACAGCAGGAGGAAAGGCGGCTTCAACTTCCGCTTTGGCCGGGGGTGACAGCCAGGGCCCTGGAGCGGCTGCCACGAGGCCTCCACCCCATCTGTCTTCACGGCTGTCTTCTCCTGCAGCCTCCGAGAAGACATGGAGGCGACATTGGCATTTTATCACAAAGCATTAGCATAGGCTCTGTTAGGTGTGTGCTGTCTTTAGATTTTCTAACTTTGCTGAAGCAAAACCAAACCAACAGAAAAACAAAACAAAACAAAAATCTGGCCAAGATCGAAAAAGAGGTGAGCAAGAGCAAGCTGTGTGCAGGCCAAGACGACCAGGCCACGCTGTTCCCCCCGGGCCCTGACCTTCCTGTCCCCAGATGGTCTGAGGGCCGAGCCAGGCCGGGGCCAGGGCCAGGGCGGCACGGCTGGGCCATGCACAGGGCCGTGCGGGATCCAGGTGATGGCGGGGACTCGGCGGCGGGGTCATCAGAGTTGTCAGCTTCTCTGCACGACTTCCACGGGGGCGTCCGAAATGCGTCTGCGAAGCACTGCGTTCAGGGGTGCACAGTGCGGTTCCGAGAGCCAGAACCCAAAAAAGAGCCAAGCCGGAAAACAGGAAAACCACCCTCCTCGTCCCCACCCCACCACCACCAGGCCCCTCTGGCAGGAAGACGGCTGCGAACTGGGGGCTCCCGGGAGAGCTGGGAGGCGCAGGGAGGGGAGTGCGGTTCTGCTACAGCGAGGCTGCACTTCCGACGTTCACAGTATGAATGTGTCGTGTGCGTCTTTTGAAATAAAAGTTGTAGCAACTGCAAAATCATAATAGGATGTTGGCATCTTCCCTCCGGGTCCTCTGGGCCTGGAAACTTCCTTTTCCTGAGCTCCGACAGCCTCTGCTTTCGGGGAGATGGAAATCCGCGCTGCCTGGGCCCGCACACCTTAATTGGCAGCTGGTCAAAGGTACGGGAGACGGCGCAGGCTGTTTTCCTCCTACACTCGACTGCTCCTTCCTCCTCTTCTCAGAATAAGAGCGTCAGGGAAGCTGCGACTCCACCCCGGGGAGCCCTAGTGCTCAGCCCGGAGCGGCTGCGGGCCGGGGGCCAGACGCGCGGTCCTTTCTATCCCGCTGCTGCGCCTCAGCCCTGCATCCGTCCCATGTCAGAGGCGCTGCCACTGCCGAGATGAGAACTTGTATCGATGTTTCCATGGCAACAGCTCCCCTCCTCCTGCAGAGCCTCCGCCTGCCCCTGCTCACAATTGAATAATTTTCCATTGAGCTGTCACAATTAATTGGCGGATTTTTATTAGCCTTTTAGAACCACACTGGGCCGGGCCCAGCTTGGCACCTCGCAGCACTTCAGCGTCTCCCATTCTATGAGTGACTTTCGCTGCCTGGCAGCAGCTCTCAATCCTCAGCAGCCAGAAAAGCCACTTCATTAAGGGTGACAGATCTGAGCCACGAAGCAACCGGGCCGGCTGGGGCGTGGGGACGGGAGGCGAGGTGGGGAAGGCGCCTCCACACACACACACACACACACACACACGGGGCTCCCTAGGCCCCGGGACGCGTCACAGGGACAGGACAAGGACACCAGTCCAGGAGTCAGAGGGAGAGAGGCTTCCGGCTGTGACCACCTGCTGGTGTGACGTCCCCCGGGGCGTCCGGCGAGACGGCCCTGGGGACAAGTGTCAGTGGGTGGACAGGAGGTGAGGGTGACGCTAGCCGACCCCGGGTGCTCACCGCCCTGGGTGTGCAGGAGCAGGTGGCTGGATTGACCCTTCCCACGGCTCCTTCATGCATAAGGCAGCCGGGCACAGGTGATTACATCGCTGACCCACGGCCAAGGGCAGAGGGATGCCTGCAGCCAGGCCCCTGGCCCAGTCCACTCTCCGACTCTTACACAGATGCCTGCCCGTGGTCACTAGTTGAGAGCGCCCGGAGAAGAGCCAGCTGGACCGTCCTGCTCAGCTGGGTGTGCACTGGCAGGTTTTTAATTTAGCAAGATTAGATTAACCTCAACAGAGAAGCCCAGGATAGAGGTGGGAGGGGGAGCCCAGCAATGGAAGCCCTTTCATCATTAAAAAAAAAACAACAAAGCTATTCTTTCCAGTTTGCTCGTACATTCGAGTTCAATAACCCTGAAAACCAGAACACTAAGGCTGCAGAGGGCACTGGTCTGTTACATCAGCTCCACTGTGTCTGGCTAAACTTTCTCTTTAGCCTCTGCCCCGCTGTGCACCCCAGGCTTGTGCCAAGGTCCTGGGCCTTGTTGTGCAACCCTGACCCCCGGATCTCTCCTCCTGGGGGAAGTTCACTGCTGTCTAGGATGAAGGCAAGACTGGGAAGCATTTACAAGGTAGGATGAAATAAATATGGTGAAGGTTAAAAATAATTTAAAACTACAGTAAAAGGCACATACTCTGAAAATCCTCCCTCTCAGGTTGAATACACTCATCCTGTTGTCCTTGCCACTTCCCCCAGCAGCTCCGGAGCGCTCTTTCGCGAGCGTCCTTAGCTGGGTTCCGGCAGCTCCCTTGGTGCCCTCAGCTCAAGATATTTCCCTTCCGTGGCCATTCTGACTGTGGGGTGGAGCCGGAAGCCGCAGGGTGCGAGCCCCGGTGGACAGGGTGGCGGAGGGCGCACCACGGCACTTCCAAGCTCCCGCCTTTCTGCTGGGTGCGCTCGGCCGCAGACCCTTAGGAAAGAGCAGTCCAGAGCTGCAGCGGGGAGCAGCCGAGGTGAGAGATTTTGAGAGGGATTCAGAGCCATATATCTCTTACTGCAGCACCTTGTTTACACGCCTCGTACCTCTGAAGCAGAGACTGGACCAGGAGTGCCCAGCTCACCCCACCCAGCTCCGGTCTGGCTTCTTCTGCTCTCCAATCCCAGTGCCCTGAGTGCTGCCTGTAGCTGTTTGCTGTTCTCATCCAAGACACAGAAAAGGCTTTTCTGGGTGGGTGCATCTAAAGGCATGTGGCTGTTTACATGGATTGAAAACATTTCTGCATTTTTCTGTATATGCCTGAAATATTGATACTTAGGAAAGAAAGGCAGCTGCCGTGCTAAGCAGGGGAGGCACCACCATCCCGACTGTGCTCTAATGCTCAGGACGCCCGGGACAGACTCCAGGGACTTTAATTTTGGCCAGGGACTTGTTGCCACTGGACTGCCAGTGCCACGGCTCAGAGATGGCACTGGGGTGAGGGTGCTGCCCAGGAGGTTGGGTACCACCAGGGGGCTGCACGCTCAGTGTGTTCTGTACCAAGACAAAGCTTGTGGCAGAACACGGTCCCCGGCGCTGTGCTGCATTTCCTGGAGCTGGGAGCCGCACTTTCTATGATGTCCTCGAGAGCTCTGTGACCACTCGAGGGAGGTGAAGAGCCCACGATCTTGGATCAGCCAGACCAGACAGTTCCGTGAGCTCAGGTGACACGTGTGTCTCCCTACGAAGGTGGCCAGTCTCATGCGTGGGGGCTGACTCACCAGTGGTGACCACACACCTACCTGCCTCCCAGGCTGCTGTGAAGACCCGAGTGGTCCGCTCAACACCGAGAAGCTGCCGGCTGTGGCCGTCTCCAGCCGTAGAGCGGTGCCCAAGGGAGCCCTGCGAATGGCAGAAGAGCCGGGGCCCCAGTTCCAGAAGGAGAGCAAGGCATCTGCACCCAGAGCCGCCGGCAGGGGTGGCTGAGAGACCACGGTGAACTCCATAGCCAGGCCCGCAGGCATCTCCGCCCTCGCTGGGGCCACGGTCTCCGGGAGAAGGCTGTGTCGGCGCCCTGCCAACCCCCCGAGCCTCCCCTTCTTCCACCTCGGGCCAGCAGCGTGGCCCTGTGAGGCCCGCCGTCCCTGGAGGCCGGAGACCTCTGCTCCTCCTTGCCCACCCCCAGAAACACAGCCGGCATGTGGAGCATGAGCAAGGGGCACTCAGGCGGGGACGGGAAGTGGGCCCAACGGTGTCCTCGGAGGGCTGGCAGTGATGACCGCAGGATGTCGCCTCCCTCATTTCAGGGCCCGGGGACGGCCTGGTGGCTACAGCACCAACGACCCAGATGGGCCTGAGAGCAGAGCAGTGTGCGACTTGGCCCGAGGACGAGGGCCGGGGCGACCCCGGGCCCCTGGCGGTGACGTCCTCATGGCCGCCCACCCTCATTCTGGCCCGTGGACCCCAACACGGGACCTCAGCCCCTCAAGAACCCCAAGCCCCGCCTCCACAGGCACCGGCTCAACAACAGGGAGGAGACAGACCAGGACAATCTGCCAGTGATTCTGTAAACACTTATTTATTTAAAAAATACTACAGAGGAGAGATCTTGATTCAAAAAACACAGAGTCGTATACAGAAAGAAAATGTATGGGACCGAGGGAGAAACAGGAGACCACGAACCCTCCAGAGAGAACACAGTGGAAAACTATTTACACGCCATTTATAAAAGAGCGAGTCTATAAAAGTGTAATTACCAAAGTGTAAATGCAAAATAGAGTGGCACGGCAGGTTAACAGGAAGGGCTGGAGGCGTTTGGTTTCTTTTGCAAGGCCGCTGTGGTGTGGTGGGGCCTCCCGCACCGCGGTGCTGTGCGAAGTCTCCAGAGTCCGAGCCGGCGGTGAGCACCCACGCCGGGGGCTGCTGGCAGGA